TTTACTATCGAAGCATGGCATGGAAGTACTTGCCAAGCACTTGGTGCGACCCGCCTGCCCCCCAACCTCTTCTTATCTATCCGAGCCACGCGCTAATTTGAAAATAATGCGCTCAATCATTTTCACATTTCAGCGGCTGCGGCTGCTTTTCATAAGTACATATAAAAAGAAGAAGAAGAAGAAGAAAAGCAAGCGAAGTTTTGAGAGTTCGCTGCGCTTTGCCTCGGCTACCCTCTCGGAGAGACGCGACGCGACGCAGCTGATTGTCTGTATAATTACATAATATTGCATAATTTGCAAAGTACTTTGGCTTTGGGATTTATGCTCTGTTAGCTACAGTCGAGTCGAGAGTGCTGAGAGATTGAAGTATTAGAGGGCGGAAGACGGATGGCAAGGGGTGGAGAGAGGAGGGCGTAGAGCGGCCAGCACAATGCTGCCTCATTATCGTTTTGCTGACCAGGTCGCTTTTGGTCTTCTTCGCTTTTGTTGTTTTCGATTTTTTTGTCTCGTTTCGTTCCGTTCCGTCTCGTCTCGTTTCGTTTCGTTTTCGTTTTCGTTTTCAGTATCAGTGCACAATGTGGTACTTAAATAATAGAAGTTTAATAGCGTTTTGTTTTCGGTACTTTGTCGGTACTTTGCTTTGCTTGCAAGTAGTTGTTTTTTGACTTTAGGTTTTGTTGTTTTTTGTGAACTACTAATGCATTCAGCTGTGTAGGATTTTGTCAAGGTTAGCGAGTTGTTTGCAGCGCTGGTTACGGCGGGCGGATATAATGACTTCTCTGATGCATGTTTTTATTTTTCTTGCTCGCAGCCAGCCAGCATCTTTGCAGGCAGGCGCACAGACAGAGAGGAAGTGCGCTGTTTGGAAAACTGGTGTAATTGTTCTTAAGTTCGTTCAAGTTCGTTGCCTGAGTCATTTGTGCAACAGTTGTGTGTTGCAGCAACGACTTTCAGTTCGCTAATTTCGCGCATAAATCATCAAAGAAAATCGCTAGCCGCATTGGCCATGTAACTGATTACACACATGCTGCAACACGACCAGCTCAACCCACCAAATCAAAGAGAGTTGTTTGCCAAAAGGCACAGCCACACGGCAGAGCAACAAACGAAATCTCCAAATGATGTCTGCCACAGGATGAGAGGCTGTATTTTGGGGGCGCCTGAAATGTATCTGCAAATAAATGAAGTTGTCTGCGCCGAGGCGAGTCGAGTCGAGCCCGAGCCCGGGCTAGTAAAGTCATCAAGCACAAGCTCGCAGGCTCGCTAGCTTCAGGATTGATCATTGATCTTTTGGCACTCGCCAGGCACAGGCTGTTGTCTGTTGTCTGTTGTCTGTTGGCTGTTGCCTGGGCTGCCTTCACGAAATTATAAATAGTGCAAATGCGTGCAGTGCATCATCATCATTAGTTTTTGGCCAGGCCAATAGACTTGTCTAGCCCAAGCGATGAGCGCAACGACGAAACGGGGCGAGGCTGCCCTAAAAACTTGCCATGGCCAATTATGTAACACAAATCATCAGCTGCAGCTGTTTGTCTGTCCTTTTCGTCCATTTGCTAAATTGATTCAATTTGTTTTCTCTGTTTGTTACTTAATTACAAAGTGCGACGCTGTCTGGGCGAAAGACGGAAACAAACTAAGCGCATATAAACGAAAATTTTACCATATCAAGTTCGTGTCCTAAGTCTTTCGTTTTGTTGCCAGCATTTTCTAATTGCAAGTTAATTTCTTGTGGCGAACATAAATTTAACATTCTAATTGAGTTATCAACCGCAACATGTACACCACACGAGCAAAAATTCCAACAAGGAGCAACCACAGCCGCAACAACAACAACAACAACGAGGAGAGACGGAACAACTTTTACGTAGCTCCTACGGAGCCAACAGAAACTGGCTACGCATGTGAAAAATTGCAACCGGCTATGGCTACAACCGCGAAACCAACAAAAATTGCAAATAGCAACAACTTGAACAACAACAACAACAGCACCAACAATGCTGCTGCTGCTGTTAGTTGCTGTAATTACATTTTGTCCATCTCTGCGCATATGTTTGTGTGTGTGTGTGTGTGCGTTGGGAGCGCGGCAAATGCTTTTTGGGCTTTTGCTAATTTGCTGGCTGTGCTTCTGTTTTTGCATTTTGGCCATGTTTAGCCATGGCTTTGGCTTATTTATTTTTAGGCATTTATAACTTTTTGTGTCTGCAAGAATTTTCCAACGTGCAAATATGTTGCTCGAGCAGCAGCAGCCGCCGCCGCCATCGCCGCCGCCGCAGCAGCTCGTAATTAATTTACTTTGTGTGTTCGCAGCGGCCAACAAAATATGAAAAAATCCATTACGCAAATGTTTATGACCAAAATGGTCAGCGGTAGCAGCAGCACAAGCAGCAGCGGCGGCAGTCGCATCAGCATTAACTCGCAGCAAAACTGGCAGCAGACCCATCCAATGCAAATAGAAAAGATGCCAAAGAGTTGGAGCTGCAAATGGAGTTGCAGATGCGTGCGGACGGAGTCGAAGTGCATTTGACTGTAAGCTGTAACGCTGCAACGCTGCAACAACTGCCACCAACTCAATTCCCCAAGTCAAGTGGCACACATACACACACACTAACACACACACACACACTCGCGCACTCGCACAACTCAACATTGTAATGCGTTTCTCTGTAGCTGCCAATATGAATATTAGTTGATTTTCACCAGCTGCCTAAGTTCGTTGTCTGAGTCTTTTGTTTGCCACACCATTCGGGGCGGAGGTGGGCGTGGCACACACACAAACATTTACGTTTGATTAGCAACAAAAATTGGACTCGAGCAGACAATACTAGAAGCTGCTTAAGCCAACAAAGTTGTGCAGCTGCAATTAAACTGATGCTAAAGATACTTAAAACGGATTTTGTTTTAAGTTAATGAAACAACAACAGCAACAACAGCAGCAGTTAACTAGCGAATTATGGCAATAATATGGAGAATTGTGTGGAAGCTGCTTGAGCTTGGGCATATCTGATTAGCAATTGACGGCTTGTCTTTAGGGAATTGCTCCATAACCATATAAAGCTTTTGTTATGCGGTTTATATTTTAAAAATATTTATGAGGTTTTTAGTATTTGATTTTATGTATTTTTTAAATCATTTTTGTTGATTTGTTTTTTTTTATATGTATTTTTATTAATGAGTCTTTTATATATTTTATAATTTTTTAATATTTGTTCATAATTTCTTTTTAATTAATTTTTAACTTGATTTTTATATTTTTTGTTTTCATTTTTATTTTATATATATTTTTTATGAGCCACAAAGACTTTTTAAGTAAGACTTATATAATACAAAATAAAATCAGATGCTTACAACTTGGGAAGCTGCAAGCAAGTCGGCATTAGAATAAGAAAACTTCCTGCTCTTCCTACAGCTAGTCGGGGCTGAAGATTTTGATATATTTGAAACAAAAAATATAATCAATATATATTAAAACTGTTTGCTGATTGATTAATTAGCTAATTTACTTTGAAACTGAATTAACAGTAAATATTTGTTGAAGTTAGTCTATAATTGACAAATTTACAGCTCAACTTGTTTTTAGCCGTTGTCAATTTGCCATAGGAATTGCAATTTCCTATTCAAAAGTGAGTTTATTGCACTCATTAGGAGCCAGGCAGTAACTCACTTATCTCCGCCCATTTGTCTCATATATCATAATCTCCATTTTTATTGAATTGCTCAGAGTTTATGTGGAGGCTTGCGAGCGGGCCATCGTTAAGCTGTTCCTGTTCTTGTTGCCGGCTCCGTTTAAATCAAACATTTAGTTTATTGTCTCACATTTCAGCTAATTAACACTACGACGGGTGCCGCCTCTTGCGACCAACCTCATTTCTAGGGGCCGCCGACTGTTTTTCGACTATACGAAAATCGGCTTAAGATCGTAAAAAACGCACTTAAATAAAATTTAATATTCAAATATTGACATTTAGTGCCATGTTAGCAACAACTTACGTGCCTTTTGTATTCCCCACTCGAGACATTTTTCTGTATAGAAATCTATTTAAAATACGCAGTTTTTAGCATTCGAGACGCTTAATAATATTAACTAATTGATCTGCATTAATTTAAGTTGACATGAAGTCTAAGACAGAGCAAAAATAACATATATCTATAGATACGTAAAACAGGTGAAGCGATCGCAGCTGCCGTTTATGAAGATCGAACAGCATTGAAGCGTATATGTGTGTGCGTGCGTGTGTGTGTAGTGTGTATTATGATTATTATATTTATACATATAGTATGTTTATTATTGTTTTTTTTTTTTTGCTTTTATAAAAATTATGACATCATTTAAATATTTTCGCCTCGAGTTGTTGTATAAACTGGTTTAGGCCACTGTTTTTTTTTTCAGTGTGCATGTTTTTTTTTTATTTTATTTGGTTTTATTATGAATTTTTCTCTCCCCGCCATAAATGTTGGGTAATTATGCACGGACTGCCAAAAGCTCATAATTCAAAAATTTCTGCGCCCAATTGCGAGATGCGCGATGTGCGATGTGCGATGCGGAAGCGCTTTTGATATCAATTTTTGCTTACATTATGAATTGCCTTGTCTTATCAATGATATCGGCAGAAATGTCAAATATGTTTTTATTTTTATTCCCCTTATCAAAGACACGTGAAAAATATCAAAAATTAAGTTCGCCTTTGATTTGTTTTGTAGGCAGTGGAGCTCGTAAAAATCTTTTTTATCTGATTTTATATGAGTTTGGGTTGCTTTTTGAGCTCGTTAAAAATACCCTAACAGAGTTTGGCTTGGATGGTGGTAAGGGGCTTCGTTACACCTGGGCAAATATATTCATAGAGCGAGCTAAGCTCGAGTTGGGGTTTCAATGAACAGATATTAAGATATAGAGTATCTCATGTTCGAATAACTTTGCCCTGCTTATTGAGCTTACAGGTAGAATCAGGTAAGCAGACCTGCCATAAAGTGAGTATAAGTTATATGGCTGCAGCTTGACTTACCGCATACGGATTATCCTGATTCATCATTGTTGCTGCTAATGCGCTCAGCTTGTGCGCTCCGGAGGTGTGGACTGCAAGAGAGAGAGAGGGGGAGAGAGATATAAATATATTTCAATGATAAGTGAAGGCTATAGCTGTTGCCATTTGGCATATAGGTAAGCTTAAACTAATAAACATAATTTCAATATTTATTACAATACTAAATGCAAATGCTGAACGGCTGCTGCACCCATAAAAGCACAATTTATGCCGTTTGTTTGCCTTAAATGTTGATTGCAACGAATGGCAGAGATGCTGCTCTAAATTGAGTGGCGAACGAGCAAGTGTGATGCACCTTTGTGTGAGTCAGTGAATCAAAGCATCAGTGAGTCGGTCAGTTGGCCTGGTCCTGCACTAATCTTTGGCTAACACCTGATTGAGCAACAGGTGTTTGCAATTTGTGCACAAATTAACACGTTTGTACTAAATACTTTCACACTTTGTCTACCTCCACAGTGGCGAGTGCAATAGGAAGCGCCAATTGTTGTCTTCCGGCTTGCCTTCACAAGGATGCTGTTGCAGCGGCAGCGTCAGCGGTAGCAGTTGCAACTGCTTAGCAACGACCTTGATGTGTTAATTTGTCGTGCAGCATCCAACTGAACACCTGGCGAACACTCTAGTTTTTGTGTTTTAGCTAGATACTTGCAGATAAACAAAAGACTTAGGCAACGAACTTTTTGGCTCAGCTCTAAAAATCTTCAATATCGAGCGGTTTCTAATTGATTATGCTGTAAGATAGATACCCTGGAAATCTTGAGACTTGATATATCAGTGAATTAAACAAATGACTTAGGCAACGAACTTTTTACTTTGCAATTAAAAATCATAAACATTTGAAATACTTTGTTATTGGCAGTGCCATCAGACAATCCATAATATTTTTAAGGATTGATATATTAAGATTAGCAAAAAGCTTGCATATAAACTAAAGACTTAGGCAACAAACTTGGAAAAAAATGACCAATTTCGTGGCAAAAGCTTACAAATTTTATAGTAAACTTGATGATTCAATAACGAGATTTCAAGCTCAATGAAAATGTTTATATATTAATATATTAATCAAGGTCAATATTCTATCTTCTATCTAATACAGGCTTCAACAGTTTTACCTGCTATGCATTTTGTACTCTCTTAGAACTCTCTAAAAAGTATGCTATGATCTGTCCGATCTGGTGAAAGTCTTGTATAGTCCTTAAAAAAGCTTAACCCGTATAAAATATAAATTTCCATTGATTTCTCAACACTCAACTCAACACTTATGGAACTCATATGCCCGCTGTGCATGCTTAATACTGAGCAAGTTAAGTGCGCACTTTGTAGAACATAAGATACCAAAAAAAAATACGCTTGTAATGACAGTGGGGCAATTGTCAATATTTGCGGCACATGCAAGTTGGCATCCCAGTTGGCATCGTCGACAGGCAAAATTCTTTGATTGCAATTCTAGGTTAGTCGAGATAGTTCGAAGTTTTGTGTAACAAATTCAAGCAAATAAAGCTTTACACGCTGTTTGCACTATAAAGCAAACATAAGCAGCGTTACACTGCCAGAAAACAGGCAGTAAAAAATATGAGCTGCGAGTTGGCAAATGAATGACGTTTAATCTAATAATATGGAATATATATAAAAATATATTTAGTAAGATTATTTTATAGATCCAATAAGGTGCGAGCTGGGAGCATACAGTGGAGCTGTGCTATGAAAGATGTTGTTAAAAGATATCACATAGAGAATTATTGCTTGAAAACAATCTGATTTTGCTATATATGCTAGATCGTAGATCCCATCCCAAGCTATAGATCAAGTGCAAAATATCAGTTTAGGTTTTCAATTATATTTAGCTTTGGTTTCGCTGAGTGTATGTTCTTTGGCTTACATTGATTCTGTTATATAGTCGTAAAGTTTATTTGTCTGCCCTTGTCGATTTCAGTTGTTGTTGTTGTTTGTTGTTACTTTTATGACGATACTAAAAAGTGCACTGTCCAACAAAACGGAAAACTTTCTCACCAAGTCGCCTATATCAGTCGTCAGTCCGTCGTCCGACGTCAATCGTCAGTCAATTTTGTCTGCTCGCCATCTTCTTCAACTCATCTCGTGTGTCTCTTGGTGTCTTTCTGAATTTGTACGTTAATGAAATTCACATGTTTCAATTTTTATGCCATCTCAACTTTTATGCGTATGATGAATGTATCTCAGTTCGGTTTCATTCGTATCGCAGTCGCAGCCATTAAACTGCCAATCAAAAGTCAACGCTCAGCCTGGCCCGAACTCTTATGGTTATGTTAATAGCTGATAGCAGCTTTCAAGATTCCTCTCGTCTTATACTCTTTCCTAGCAAATTATGAATGATCCACAGAGTCAAGTTCTATTTAGCATGCCCATAAAAGCAACAAAACAAAAAGATCAAGAAGTTTTAGATAAAATCTCATACCTTATCAAAGCCTTTGAACTGCCCGCAAAAAAACGAAAAAAAATTATGAAAAGAGTTGAAAGAGTTTCGCTTAATCCAAATTTGAATACAGACTCCGTGGCGCTGTGAGCTCGGTGTGCGGCTTTCCGTCTCTTGATTTTTCACGTGTTTCAGTTACAAATTTTCATAGTGCACTGAGGCTGCAGTTTGTTTTCTTTTGTTATATTTCCTATATTATTGTTGTTTGTTGGTGTTGCTGTTGCTGTTGTTGTTGCTGTTGGTTTTTTTTGGTTCGAAAAATCATTTAAGTTGTTTGTTATGTGTGCACATTGTGAACTCTCCTCGCTCGTTTATTTCTATTTTTATTTTAGTTTTATTATTACTATTTTTTTTGCTTTTTTCACCTTGCGCCAATAAAACGTCACTTGAGCGTACAGTATTTTAGCGATTGTTGCTGTTGTTGTAGCTAAATTGCACTTGACTTTTAGAACTTTAGACGAGCGTAAAGCTCAGCCATATGTACATTGATATACATACTTATATACCGTAGCTTAAACTCTATAAACGACACAAACACGCGCTCGTTACGCTCCCTGCATTCGAGTGTGTGTGCCCGCGTGTGTGTATATAACACACTCTCTGCATCTGTGTGTGTGTGTGTGTATTTATTCAATTTGCTGCCGTCTAATTTATATAGAACATAGTGAAAGATGAGTTTTAGTTGACTTGCTGTTCAGTTGACTCTCAAGTTGCATTTGTTGTCGTTGTTGTTGTTGTTGTTTGGCTTAGGCCACACCTTTATTTGGTGAAAAGGCACTTGGACTTGAGTTGGGCAAATGGCGAACAAGCGCGCGCCTCTGTTTTCTTTTTTATGCCTCTCATGTGTGTGAGTGCGCGCGTGTGTGTGTGTGTGTGTGAGAGGTGTGAAAACTGAAGCACTTGCGGCACTCTATATTAACTTGTGAACGGTAAATTGAGCTGTTATTGGGTCACTTTGCATACTTTGGGCGGGGGCTGTTGACCGATTAACGATAGGCGATGAGCGATAAACGATAAGCGAGCAATCGAAGTATCGATAGAAGAACGCACGTTATGTTTTGCAATCGTTTTTTTGTGTTTCTGAAAAAGCCGACGACGCAGCGTGCGAGCGTGCGACATGCGATTCGAGCGTGCGAGCAAGAAGCGCGAGCTATCACTAAAGACTGATGTTAAACAGTTCTGCAAAATGCTCTGGGTACGAAAATACCGAACACCGCACCTGGTAGCGGCTACGACAACGACAACGACAACGACAACGGCAACGGCGGCGGCGGCTGCTGCTGTTGCTGCTGCTGCGGAGGCCTCTGCAAAATGCTCACGAGCGCTGAGATGCTTTGCAATCAACGGCGCGAATACGAAGCGACAGCCCGGGCTTCGGCTTCGGCTACCATACGGCAGCAACAACCACAACAACAACCACAATGAGAAGAAGCTACTGCTATAAACAAAAACTACAAACTGGTTGTCTCATCAAAAGACAAACAAAGCGAAGAATAAGCACCAGACGCGCTCTCTAACGGTGCTGGGGCTCACGATAGAGAACATTCGAACAACCACTCAGAGAGAGAAATAGAGAGAGCGCGCGAGCAATTTTGAGCACTTTTAGCAGTTAACAGTTCTCTGCCATGTAAACGCTTACGCTCTGGCAAAAACTCACTCAATACACCGAACACACGGCTCATGCGCGCACTCGCTCTCACTCCATTTTGTATTTGGTTCGTTAACAGCTGAGCAGCAGCAGCGCGCTCTCTCTCTCTCTCTCTCTCTCTGTGCTCTCTCTGGCTGCGCAAGCGTTACGACATTTGATTGGCTCGATTAACACAATCGGAGCACCCGGTTATAAACCAGTATAACAGCGCACTCACACACGAACACACACACACAGGCACGGGTGTGCATGCAGGCGAGACAGCACGATCGCCTGCTCGTTTTGTTCGGTCTATAAATATGAAGAGCAGCTGGACGAGCGTTGGACAGAAAGAGCGCGCACTATATAGCGCCGCATTGCTCGACTGAACGCGAACTTATTTACTCATTTCATTGACCAATGCAGAGCAAAACACACGCACACACATACATGCACTCGGCATATATAGCAACGAGAGTGACGACTGATCGTGTGTATGAGTGTGTGCTTGTGTGTGTGGCTACGAGCCAGCCAGCTGTCGCACGTGGGCGTGGTCTATTTATGCAGCTCAACTGTTGCTATGTATCGATCGATACTTGTGTGTTGCCATCCCCCATCTCCATCGCCCCCCTCAGCAATGCTTTTTTGTTTTTGCATGCGCACGAACTGGATTCAATTGCCGTTGGCTGGGGCAACACTCACGCGAGTTTGTTAGTTAGTTAGCTAGTTAGTTCGTTAGTTAGTTTGGGCCAACTTCCCCGCATTGCTAACGGTGTTAAATTGACATCGCACTGGCCGCACGCCCGTTCGCCCGCTCGCCCTCGTCTGGCGCCAGCTCACGCCATCTTTTTAGCCATTTGCAGTTGTCAAGCTGTCATAGTATTGATCGTTAAATGCGTTATCTGTCGATAGCCATAAGACATTTTATGACATTAGTTGCATTGTAAGCAGCAGCACTAGAAACACTCGAAACACTTGTTCAACACGGCAACATTGGCCACATCGGCCAATTGCCATTTAAGTCTCGAATATAACATAAACTCGTTCATATTTATCGCTTCTATTTGCAGCTAATGAGCTCTTTATGAAAACAATCAGCCAAAGACATGTAATGCAACCTTGGCAAACTGAATGAAATGAGTTTATATTTTATTATAATTTTTAACTATTTCATTTATTGCAATTTCATTATGAACTTAGCCTTGTCTATCATCAAAATTTAAATACTTAAAATGCAATTCGTCAGCGCTTCTATTTGAAGATTTTCCTTTGTTTTCTTCCTTTCTACCAGGAGTCAAAATCTTTCACTTGGCTCGTAGTGAAACATTTGCAGATGTTCTCGTTTCATTAGGGGCGTGACGCCAGCAGCAAAAACGACTTTCTACGCATCAGCGTCCATAATATTCCCACTAACTGCGCCGAACTTTACTTTACAGAAGTTAATCCAATTTGTTGAGTTTTATGATGTTGAAACAGTCGAAAACCCGCAACTCGTTATCATCTGTTTGTTTTCTAAACCCTTTGAGAAAGGGTAGGAATCCGACTAGAAGTCAAATACTGCGGGCTGCTCTTAAGGTAAACGCCCCGAAATCGGAATGGAAATCGAAACTGAGAATCGAGGACTCTCACTGCGAGAGTTTTTAACCTTTGGAAAACGGGGTGTTTAAACCCATTACAAGAAGTCGCTAGGAGTCTAAGGACTACTGAAGCGAGTTCTCTGTGATGTTCGGCGCTGCGGTTGCTCTTGCGGTTGCTCTGTGAGCTACCTTTTTTCTTCTTCTCTATTGACTGGACAACACCCACGCACACTCACACACACACACGCACCCACACTCGCACAAAAGAGCATTCGCTTTGGTTGCCTTTGACAAAATTTCATGCTTTAATTTCTCAAACTGTTTGTGACATTTGCATATGGCATGCGTGTGTGTGTGTGTGTGTGTGTGCTGTGTGTGCCATGATGTGCTGGCTAATCCATGCTGAGCAACAGATAATCCCTTGCAATTGTTTGCTTGATTTGTTTGTTATGGATCTAGCTGCTGCTGCCGCTGCGGATGCTGTTGCAGTTTCTTCTGCAGAAATAGTCGCGCATCCTTTGGCATACAATTGCCACATACAATGGAACGTGCAACTGCGTCTTGCCGTAGGACTCGCCCCTTTTTGGTTACACTTTAATGCGTTCTAATGTATGTGACTTTTGCTCAGATCCTCAAAAACGCGCCTCAAACATTTTGCCGCCGCCCGTTGAAGTGACTTTGCGAAAATGTTCTATCTCTGCGTATGTGTGCGCCCATTGTCCTGCATCAATCAGCAATCATCAATCATTTCGGCTGCTCAATATAAATATTTCGGATGAAATTAGGTTAAAGGCTTGCAAAAAAGAGAGGGGCTACGGCATTTCGAACTTGTGTCATGTTGCCAGAGAATAGTCGGCAAATGTTTGCTCTGGGCCAGCATATGTGTTCCGACAGCATATCTCAGAGTGTGTCTGTACGTGCGTGTGTGTGTGTGCGTGTGCGTGTGCGTGTGTGTGTATACAATAAATTAATTATAAATGCATTAATCACTGCCAAAAACTTTGACAAATACTGACATGAGCGTTCGTCGTTCATTTCGTCTCGTCTCGTCTCGTCTCATTTCGGTTTCGGTTCGTTTTCGTTTCGTTTCGTTTTGTTTCGTTCTTTTTGCAACGGAGACGCGCGCGTGAAATGAAAACAAAAATTTAAAACACGTTTTCGCGCTTATTTCTGACTAATTTATGCGTTCGATTTGTCCGTTTGTCTGCCAACCAGAGCCAATCATTCACTTACACAGTTTACTCGTCTCAATTATACCCTGCAAAGCTCGAAACGGGGCCTACAGAGGAGTGGGGTCAATGCAATTTTTCATGCATATATAAAAGTGTACAAATATATACATATATCATTATCCAATTCCGTACCTATATTTATATTATTATATTACCGTACTCATATTTATATTATTATATTATATCACATAACACTTATGCACATTACTATCCTTATAGGTATCTGAATATCCATAGCAATACTTATATCTATATCCACATCTATACCTAATCTTATCCCTATCCATATCCACATGCATATCTATATGTTTATCCTTATCCATGTCCATGCTCAAATCTTTATTTTTTATCCCTAAATGTGCATATCTATATTTTTATCCATGTTCACAAATTTATATTTTTATCCATATCCGTAGATATATTTATGAATTTATTCTTATCCTTCTGCATTTCTATATCCTCAGCCATATCCATGTAAATATATATTTTAAATATATATTTTTATCCATATTCATAGTCATGTTAATATATATATTCTTTTCCCACTGCATATCTGTACTCCCACAATTATCCATAGCCATATTAATGTCTATATTCTCATCCCTTACTATTCTTATTCAAAGCCATATTTATGTCAATATTCTTATTCTTATCCATATCCATATTCATCTATATTTCTATACTTATCTCTATCCATATTTCTATATTTATATTTACAAACATACAATATGATTGATCCATATATATAGTAATATAGAATCAAATTGATAAATTCTGCACTCACTTTCGGCTTCTACAGGGTATCTGTTGAGTTTGTCCCATTTTTCTGGTGCACACATTCGTTGCTCGTTGTGCCAAAATGCCACAGGTTTCGGTTGCTGTTGTTGCTGGTATTTATTTTTTTTGTCCATTTCTGATTTTGATTGAAAGCCCCAGAAATTGATTTCCACCTTGCGGCATTTGGATGCTCTTTGGCATGTTTCACATTTGGCAGCTTTGTGCCGTATGCAAATGAGATCGTTGATCTGTTTTGGTATCGATTGGTGTTTTCGAAAGACATCAACGGGCAGAGCGTGCCACATAAAAACTTGAAACCAAATCATATTTGACCCTTAGGGGTCGCGCATGCCAATAATGAAAACCGAAACCGAAACCGAAACCAAAACCGAAAACAGCAAAAATATAAAATCAAATCAAATCCAAGATACAGAAATGTTAATTTCCTGCATACAAAAATATTCGTATATTCGATATATGAAAAATGTGAACCACTTGGTACAAAAGTTGAGTTTTTTCTCTTAGTTTTTATTTGTGTTGGCTGTGGGGATTTCTTTTCTGTTCAAGTTTCGCTTTGTGAACAGATTTTCCAGTTTCCAGTTTTTAGTGGCGCGAATTTGAATTTAATCAAATTAATTTGTGTGTGTCAATGTGCTTCGACATTGATAAATTGATAGATCGGATTGACTATGGCCAAACAAATTGCTCCAAAAAAGCGAAGACATTTACCATCAAATCTCTGTTTGGCTATGACAAAACATTTGTATGCTAGAAAGCTTGGCTTATTCCATATTTTATGGCCACAACCGGTTCGTAATGTTGTAAATATTGTGTGCCAGCAGCGGCTAGAACAGCTTCCGTGCGCAGCTCATCTGATGGGAGCCCATTTCCATTTCCATCTCTATTTTCATCTGCCTCACACAAAAGTTGCGCATTGT